TTGTCAAGCAATAATTTTGATAGAGAAAATAGGGATTTTTTTTTTTTTTTTTTTTTTTTAATATAACATTTATATATATATATATATATATATATATATATATATATATGTTTATATATACATGTAATGGATATATAATGTAATATGGAATATCATAATGTAATATCACTTGTTATATATATATATATTTTTTTTTTCATTATTTCCTTTTTTCATTTTTAATATAAATTTTTTTAATAACGAAACATCCGTAGTAATAATTTGATAATACTTGTTGATTGTAATGTTACATGAATTGTGAATGATTAAGGAAACGTGCCTAATTTATAAATTTATTTATTTGATACATATGTGTGTCTGTGTGTGTGTGTGTGTGTGTATGTGTGTGTGTGAGAAAGAGTTCGAGATAAATTCGTATCAATTCAAAACATATAGATTACGTAATATAAACAAAAATAAAGAGAAAATATACCTATATCCAAATTTATATAATACAGAACAATCTAATCGTATTAATTCTGTTTTCCTTGACTTATCGTTTATACTACTACTTACTTGATTAATTATATAAAAAATATTTTGATACGCAATATTAACACAGATATAATATATATAATATATATATATATATATATATATATATATATATATATATATATATGATTAAGATTTTAAGTATAGTATTTAAACTTATTAAAAATATAAACATTATTTCGTAATATTAGATTATAAGAGTAAATATCAATTATTATATGTATATATATATATATATATATATATATATATATATATTTAATTTCATGATAATAAGATTAACCGAACGTTTATAAACAAAAAAAAAATATACATACACACACATACACACATCCGATAACATTCATTCATCAATTTCGGATGTATCGTGCGGATGCGCGCAAAAAAAAAGGAGAAAAAAAAAGAAAACAAGAAAAAATTAAGAAACAATCGATCAAAATAAATTTCATTTTTTCATTAATAATTAACAATTAACTTATTTGACATCGTTGCAATAATATTAATGCAATAATTAAATAATTTCATAATTAAATAATTAACATATCATCGATCATCGACATAATACATTCATTAATACGATTTCTTTTTTTTTTTTTCTTTTCTTTATTCATTTTTCTTTTTTTTTTCTTTTTTTGTTAAATTAATCGCTTAACTCTCGATCATTATTAAATAAATTATCCGCTAATTAATATAATTCACGTGTCAAGCGACATAATAAACGCGACATTTGTCGGTCATTAATTCAATCGATATATTAATTAATCGTTTTATTAATTAGTCGATACGTTACAATAGTACAATAACTTATGAAATAAATTAATATTTGCAATAATTCAATGCGATTATGAATGATCGATCGATCGATCGATCGATCGTTCGTTCGTTCGTTCTTTCAATCGTTCGATTGTTCAATATAGAAAAGAGATCTATATTGATATTGATATCGATATGAGTATCGATATCGGTATAGAGACCGAGATCGAGATCGTGATAGAGATCGAGATCGAGATTCTTCTTCTAACGGTGGCTTTCGCAAATTAATCGACTCTCTCTTCCTCTCTCTCTCTCTCTCTCTCTCTCTCTCTCTCTCTCTCTGTCTCTCTCCCTCTCTTTCTCTCTCGTTGTCATTTGTGATCCTTCTCACGAAGTAAGAGAACCTGTTTCTGTGAAATTAAAGTGCGACAAACGACGATGAGAGGCCAATCGAGCATACAGTTATTTTTACTAAGGCGATAAAGGCGACTTTAATATGTCGATTCTTGTTTCCATTCTCTCTCTCTCTCTCTCTCTCTCTCTCTCTCTCTATGTATATGTATATATACATCTCCGTATCTCTCTTTCTCTCTCTCTTTATCTCTCTATCTTTCTCGTGATCAGAACGCGTAGGACATAATTGTCATTGAGCGAATGAAATGAACGTGTAAGTCACCGAGGAAGTATGTACGTTTATTTTTACATATAGTCGTCTTTGTTTATTTTATTACGACCTATTCAATGACGAAAGAATGAGAGAGAGAGAGAGAGAGAGAGAGAGAGTGTGTGTGTGTGTGTTTCACTAAGGATCGTCATATTAGATCGAATTTCTTATCTCATTGTGACTTTTTAATATTAGATTTGTTTCTATTTAAATTAATACGAATTAATGCAGATGAGATAGACTAAGATAATTTTATTTAGGTATATGTATATATATATATATATGTGTGTGTGTATATATATAAAGAGAGAGACAGAGTTTTGCGAAATATCATCGTATTAGATTGAATATCTTATCTCATTGACGTTAGATTTGTTTTTTTCAAGTATTAATATTTAATACGAATTAATAATTGAATAATTTTATATAATTATAATATATATATATATATATATATATGTATGTATGTATGTATGTATATAATAGAATATTTTATAATTTGAATTATTTTTAATAATTAATAATATTTATTCAGAGAATTTTTTTTTCTTTTTTTTTTTCTTTTTTTTTTCAATAATTCGTTTAATAAAAAAAAAAAAAAATGTTCGATCTATTAGATTTAATCGATGAATTTGAATTTTTAATCGTGTTAACTAGCTATTACATAATTTTTTTTTTTTTTTCTATATTCTTCGTCCTCGTTTATTTTTTTTTTTTTTTTTACGATCTAATCATTGACGAAAGACAGACAGAGAGAAAGAGAGAGAGAGAGAGAGAGAGAGAGGGAAGGAGTTTTGCGAAAAATCGTATTAGATGGAATTTATCGTATCTTTGACGTCCTTTTAAGTTTCAAATTCTTTTCTAAGTATCCAAAGTTAATGCGAGTTAGTATGAGTAAGACGGATGAGAATAATCGATCCTTTTTTTCTTTTTCCTTTTTTTTGTTGTTTTTTTCTTTTTTTTTCTCTTTTTTCCTTTCTAAGAAATTCTTCTCGCAAAAAATATTAGATTGACTTAGTCGATGATGTAATAAGATTGAATTTTTAATCGTGTGGACTATCAAGTACGTTTATTTTTACATATCGTCGTCTTTGTTTATTTTATTACGACCTATTTAATGACGAAAGACAGAGAGAGAGAGAGAGAGAGAGAGAGAGAGAGAGAGAGAGATCGAATTTCTAATCTCTGTGACGTCTTTTAAAATTAGATTTTCTTTCTCGGTATTAGAATTAACGCGAACAAAATGAACGAGAATAATTTTAGTTACTTTAATTTCTTTTTTCTTTTTTTTTCTCTCTCTCTCTCTCTCTTTTCCTCCTTTTCCTCTTTTCCTTTTTCACTTTTTATTTTTTCTCTTTAAAAAGAATTCGTCAAATATTATTTATATCGATCATTCGAACGATTATAATTGTATTTTCAATAAAGTCGCTTCTACT